ATGCGCTCAGTTTTCCAACCTGTGCGTTAAAATTACCTGCCAGCACTATATATATCAAAGTTGCGACTCAACCTAATCAGTTCGGCTAGTTTTGTCGTCAAATTCGTCCTTTTGTGAAGCGGGACTGCAGTTGGTTGGTGCATGCGCGGAAATTATGAACAAACACCTTTTGGTGTTGCTACCCTTCCGAACACTAACTGATCCCTGTAGCCTCATTGCGCACGGACGACTATTGACGGGTAGCCAATCTATCATAGAGGCTTCAGCTTTATCGTTTGGTACGATACACCACGCTGACCCAGTGAGCGGGCTGCGTCGTCTCCTGATGTGTGAAGGAAATACTTTGAGGACAGACCCGGCGCACTCAGTTGGCTTATAATACTAGGATCCTGAATTCGTGTCTTCGATACACAACAGATATCGACATCTANATGTGTGAAGGAAATACTTTGAGGACAGACCCGGCGCACTCAGGTGGCTTATAATACTAGGATCCTGAATTCGTGTCTTCGATACACAACAGACATCGAATTCTAGAGACGCGCAAGACACGCCTGTTGACCCACCTGCATAAGAGTCCTCGCGTTGGAAGCCTCTAGATTGAGAGGTTGACGAGGCTTCAGAATCTGCACTTTATTTACAGGAAAACTAGTTACAGTGCTATTTGGCAAAGACTTTTGGCGAGTGACGACCGAGCTGTCTGAGGGAATATCAAGGGGCGGAAGAAGGGCTAAAGGGATAGGGTTGGGTACGGAAGACAAAGAGTTAAACAAAGGTTGGGATATTGAGAACGCTCCATATACAAAAGATGTTGCTTGATGACCCGTCAACTGGTCTATATAATTATATAGTTTATTTTTCCCCTACACGTGTGTAATTATCAAGGAAAAAAGTCTCCAGTCACATGGGCTGGTATACCATATATAACGTTACTCGTCGGTTTATCACTAAACCAAATGAAATCTGATCAACTTGATTGCATTTCCAACAGGTCCAATAATTTGAAATGGCTTGGCAGCGATCGGGATCTCGCTTCGCTTTACATCACCGTATGACGACATAGTGGTTCATTTCGTTTTCCCTCCCTCAAGTTGGTCTAGTCCCCGTCAACGTATCATTTACGTTTTCCTTTTGCATACATTTGGAGCTTGGTAATTTTTCTCCTTAATTTGCCGCAGAGTCACCAAGCATGACCCTGGTGCCTAATTATTCTACTAAATTGGTTATCATATTTATAACTCAATACTTTCACAGTTTGCTGTCACCCCAAATTTTATCCAACGGTTGCTAGTTTTTGTGCTGTGTGATTGTATACTTAGTCTCAGCTACCTGTAGACTGGTTTATTTCGTTTTAGAAAACATCGGTCAAACACGCGCCGTTCGGTGATATCTCCAAAGTCTACCGACCAACCGCAACCGACAATCTCAAAATCTAAAACACTTTTGACCAGTGTGAATAGTCCAGATGACAACCCAACACCTGCCAGCGATCCCGATTCGGTCTCAGGCTTTCGGATGCTGGCCGAGATGGAACAAGCTCGTCTCAACATATTATGCGATGACTGGAACAGTGTCATGCTGGAAGAGGCAGAAAGAATCCCCGAACAGGGTTTGTCATTAGCATTCCTTATTGCTACATTTCATGATCTTTTTGATAAGTTCATTTTGTCAGTAAGATGCAAGTCATAATTGAAACAGCCTAGTCGTGCGATCGAGTCCACCTATTTATTTATACTTTAATGGAGCTTCTCACTGAACACATTTCCTTTAACAAATTCCGAAGCAGGGTATACAGCATACTGATCGACAGAACCCAAGCTTGGTGTTATTTCATCTGGGTGCTGGTCAGCCTAATTCTTGAGATTCGTCGCGATGAATCCCGAAATAACACGGATGTGGTGTTACTCCGGGTAAGATGAAAGCTTTTTGCTTCGATAGTAGTGTGACGGTAATGTAACTCAGTGTTTCAAGACTTGCACATTGTGCATTGCAAATTTGTATCACATATATATATATATATATACAACAGAATGAGGAAAGTCAGGTGGCGGTGGTAGGGTCCAAACACACGTCCTTCGGGATGATAATTTGGTGACCTTTATCTCGCAAGGGTGGGCTCAGCAAATCGTTCAAACCAGCAGCGGTGTTCCTCAAGGGTGCCCTGTTTCCCCCATTCCTATTCAATTTCGTCGTAGATGAAATAATACTGGAGACGAACTAAGTGGTCTCCAAAGTGTTGGTGTTGCATGGGCCGCTGGTGAAAAGCTGTGCGTCTTAATGTACGCCAATAAAATCATTTATCTGTTTAAATTTAAGACGCACCCAGCTCACTTGAGAGCCTACGAAGTTCTATAACTCTATCTGTAACGCGCTCTGCATCTTCGAAGCGCAAATTGAGGCTGTTAGTCTTGGTTTCGTTTACTTCGACCCGTATGTTTGATGGTCAACAATTAGCCATCATAGATTGTCCTACTTAGGTAACATAGCAAACGAACTAACCTTCCGTATTTCCTAGGCACGAGCAGGTTACGCAGGACTGAAACACCCTTAGCGCCAACGTGATGTTTCTTGAAACTGAAAGCCTGCGCACATTACATCACTGTGCGGCCAGTTCTAATTTATGGTTGCGGGAACCCAAATTTGCTCGTGGAAGATATCGTCTAGGAGTCTTCCACTATCAATGTTTACCTTGTTTGGTTCACATGGAATGAATGGTGCGAGCATGTATACGACACTGAGGTAATCTATAGAGTACTTGATAATGATACGGTGGTGAATTCGTTATCACATCGAATTCTGGTTAATGGTCTTCGCTGGTCAGGACACGTATTGTTCATGTCCAGCTTTCGTCTTCTGCATCGCGGCTGATTCACAGTTGGGGCTCCGGGTTGAAAGAGACCAAGTGGAGGTCAACAAATAATGTTTCAGTTTTCGGTTTGCAAAACCATCAACCATGTATGTTCATGTGCCGGTTTTGGTTGCTATTTTTTGTCTGTCCGTTTGGATGAAGAAGTAGGGGAAACAGGAAAATTAAACAATAAAATCGAAGATAAAACGGAGAATTTCAGTAGACTAAGGTTGCAAAGGAATTGAGAAGAAGCACGAACGTCATTGTTTACGACACTCAGCCATATCACTCAGTGTCTCTAATCATTGGTTACAATGATCCCGAGGTCCCCACCTAAGGCTCCCAACACGACCCATATAACCGAGTCTCCTGGTTAGGGTTTTCGTACCCTCATGCCAGGTCTTATTTTGACCACTCTTGGCCTTTTCCCACTCACTACCTACCCGGAAAACATCACTCTCCGTGGAAACTAGGCATGATGCGATGCACTGTGCTGTTAGGTGGAGTAGGTTTATCTCATCTTTCATGTTAGAGTCCCAGAAACTGGTTGGATACATCAAAGGATGCGACAGCAAACTGACAGCAGTGGCGTTCCTGTTTCGTCGTATCGGGCCGGAATGCCTGAAGAAGTATGTACACAGGTTGCATGCCCTGTGTTAACCGTGAAGGTTTCCTTTCTTGCTCCCTCCGCCTTGCTATGGACCCAATCCATCTTAGGTATGTGAGAATATACAAACACACACACACATATATATATATATATATATATATATATATATATATGTATATTTCACACACGTCCGACTCCAGACTGTATGCCTAGCAAATCATGGTACAATGATCTTTATAAAAAAAGTTGCATGATTTGCATGTGGGCTGAGTACTGCCAGGCTGAGGAATTCGCTGCACATTGACGTGGTGTGATGGCTTGTGCACCTCTCTGACCCAACAAGCTACACAGGACGGCTTTTTTCAAGCCAAAGATCTAATCATGCCTGGAAGGTCATTGGGTAAAGGCCAGACAAAGTCCAGTCTCATGGTTCTCCAGGTTAGGGGTTCGACTTGAGTCGGCGTTTTAGTCGGTAAAACGTGTTGGAGGAATAATTGATCCAGTGACTTTCACTTCTCTGTATTTCGCTGTAAGATGGTGATGATGATGGTGAGGAATCCACAACCGGAGCCTTCGGCTAGCCAAAGCGTGACCCGCAAGGTAGCGGGCTGGTGTGTGAAAGCCGCAACTCTTTGGGGGCCGGTGTCAAGTTCATCGGATCATGCGCCCTCTGGACGAGGTCAAACGTTCAAGGTGCCCAATACACCCTGATGCCCAATTGATCCGGTGATCACATACCTTGTATGGACTGTAAGCTTGGCATCGATCACGGAAGTTCGCTTCACTATAGTTCGGTGTGCGATTGTATGAGTGTATTATTCTATTCTATTGATTCATTCATAATATCCAAGTGTAGCTACCGTTCATCTCAAACGCGTGATGTTTGTCAGCAAATCGTGGTCTTAGTTACCGGTTTACACCTAATTGGTTTCTTTTGCGTATTTTTCGATCAGGAAATCCCAGACGTAATTTAGTCCCAACGAATTTTTGCATTGGGCAGGGACGCATAGTACGTGACGTGTCCCAGGACGAAACAGCCTTTCAGTGTTCTTTGTAGTTTGTTGCAAAAAGATTTTTTGCGCATTTAATTTTTTAAACGTTTTAAAGTCATTTGTTCGTTGACTTTTGACTGAAATTGAAACTGATATCCTCTTCTGTTAAAGCACTCGATTCGATCCGGACCACAGTGTGCAAATGCCGGTTGGTATTGCAAAAGAAGATGCCATTCTTTTTGAGTTTGGTCGATATGGCTGAACAATCGGCTAAATCAGTTTCATCCCCCAGCTCACAATTCAAGGAAAACCAACCTCCCAAGACCGATGTGAATGATTTAGCTGGCTACTGGGCTTTGGTTGCGGATGAAATCGTTCAGGCAGATGCTGCTTTTGAGCGTCTGCGCGTTTGGCGAGATGAAGGTCAATGGGAACCATCAAACAGGCCTGTTACACCGATGCGTGCCCCAGTGAAGCAGACACGTCGTAAATCAAAGGCTGTAAAACCGTCCGTGAACACTACTAGCAAAATTCCAATCAAACAAACCTTGGTCGATCGCCGAATAAATGCGGGAACGTTGTCGGTAGAAATCACCAAAGCCCTTTCTGAAGCTGTGAAGTCAAACAAGGTTAATGCATTATAAAACGTGTATTTCATTTAACCATTGGTGGTTGTTCCGGGGTAGGTGGTCATTTTAAAATCATACTCCACTGTGGCATGAGTCAGGAGGATGCCGTTTTATTTCTTTCACTTTGTGATTCAGCTGAATCTTTGCTCCATAAAAAAATAATGAATGCATGGCAAGGTTTCTTACCCTGCCGGATTTCCTAACGCGCCCATCATATACAGTTGGAAATCCAATATAACAAGTCGAATCCTTCCACTATCAAACGACCAAGAAAATGAGTAACTGAAACTATTAGTGGTTGATTCCAGGAGGGCTTTTTCTAGATCCGCAAGATATTGCGGTCAAGCGGTAAAATAAGCCTTCGCACAAAAATACGAGTAGTTCAGACCGCCACTCGATCGGCCTATAACTTGCGAACCATGTCCGATAAGCGTTGAGAATATCTGCTGATTAGAAGTTTTTGACCCTCAATGCGATGCATTTTATGTCACTGTCCAGATTCGAACTGAATAACGTAGCCCTGGATGCGGAAACCCTGACACGTGCTAAGCGATTGACGAATAACTGCTTGAGCGCATGTTGGCAGTGATTGAACTGAACGAATTCTCATTTAGGACATGCGGGTTTATTGAAATCAGGTGCATTTCTTTTTCTTGCAATGTTCTTACAATTGTGTGGGAGTTTCCGAATTCGCCATATGTGAATTCCATCGGTAGCTATAACTGTCATCTATTAGAGGACAAAACATTTCTGCTTTGCACACTAGCGACGAGTATTTCCCAAAACTTCGGGTATGCCTGCAACATAGAATGTTTCAGGTTCAACGCAAACTGGTCAATAACGAACTTGAATCATTCGTCATTATCAGCAGCGTTTGTCCAGTGTGCCGTATTTCACTATTACCCTCCAG